TCGTTTGACGATGGTGATCTCCAGGATGATCATGTGCTCGAATTAAAGAAAGAAAAATGAAATCATGATGAAAAATTATAATGAGAGAATTGATCAATTCCAGAAAAATATTAAGATAACCAGTGAGCAATTAAAAACAATTGAAAATGATTTAAGACAATTGATGATTGAAAAAAAAATAAACAAAACGAATTTATGAAGCTTTTAAATGAGCATCGGCGTCTTGTAAAAACGAAAAAGTAAGGCAGTAAAAGAAAAGAATGAAATTGTATGCTCTGTAATAGATCAAATCAAAACCGACAAAAATCTGTCAAAAGAATGAAACATATGATTACTGGTAGTGGTAGTGGAAAATAAATGTGGTGATTTATTAATCGATTTTTATGAAAGATATTAATTGGTTTATTCATCAAGACAAAAAATACAAAGACGAAAAACTTTAAAGTCTTTTTGTTTTACTGTGTTATTGTTGTTCATTTGTAGAAAAAAAAATTTTTGTATATCAAAAAACCTATGATAGATACAATTTGCTTGTTTATGAAATATTTATTAAGATATACATTTATGTAGACTTTTTAACTTTTTTCTTGTCTATTTGAATTGCTCTGAATTTATATTCTCATATCTGTATGTAGATCATGTTATAGTGTAAATTAGTTATATCAGGTATTGTTCTTTTCTTCTATTCTGCATCGTACACAGATAACGCGTGCGATATACACGTGTTTTTTCCTTTCCTTCTCTTTTCTGAATATAACTTTGATCTTTTCCATCTCATCATGTTTCTTTCAAATGTTCTTGGATGTTTCCCCAAATCGTTCATATATAAGTGGTTGTCATTTAAGAAATAAATGAAGGAAAACTTTATTCATGTTCTATGAAATCAAACCTTCCATTAGCAGATCATATAAATAATAACAAAAAATTTCTGCAATAAAATTCTATTGAATAGCTTCGAGTTGTATTCATTAATTATAGTCATATAAACATTTATATCCGTAGATATAATTCAGTTATTTTCTTCCTTGGATATAAACTAAGATAAATATTCATGTATTTTTGTTTCAGATGAAGAACAATGATATATTTAACCAACAAGTGAAATAATGTTACATAGATTAGGCGAGACACATATGATCATTGGAATTGATCGATCAAACAAGTATTATATTAAAATATATCGAGATATTCTTGTTGCTCAATAGAATATTCAAATAAAAAACATTAAAAAATTTAACATTATAATTTCTAAGACATTACAAATATTTATTAGAGAATTTTTCTAAGTAAGAAAAAAGAAGAATTAATGTTTGTTTTAAATAAAAATTTTTCATTAAGATTTTATTGAGAAGAATCTTAAACGAAATTTATGAAAGGTTTTGTTGAGAAAGAATTGAAAAATATAGGAAGATTTCCAGCTGAGATATTTGTAAAATAATTAAATTAAATCATTATTTATTTAAGATATTCGACCATTATTAAGATAAACAACAGTATTGGGAAACATAAATCCTTTTGATGACAAATATCATGTTGATTTAAGTTAATATATTATTATTCAGATAAGAATATTAAATATAAAATAATTTCATTTAATAACACAAAATAGTACACAAATACTTTTACATCATGATCTTTGTAATGACGAGAATATTTTTTGTAATTATTTTGAATAAACAATTATGATTAGTTTTTACAATTACCAAAAATGATTTATTACTATTTCATTATTCAATATTAAACATCAATAATAATAAAAATTATTGACAATTTTAGTAAAGAAAATATTCATACATTATTGTCTTTAAAAAATTTACTTTTATCAAAAGAGAAGAAAATCTTCATCAACTGAAGTAAATATTAGTTCTGATAATAGTAAAACTTCTTTATTTTTCAAAATTATTTCAAAACGGTGGACACATTCTTTCTATATATTTTCAAATAGGATTTATGATTGAGAAATACTATTTACTTTTTTGATTTTAGGATGTTGTCCTTCCTCAATATTAAATCGGAAAAATCTGACAACAAATATAGATAATCTCAAATAGAACTCATTTTTTAGAATTCAGATGATGATTTTCACAACCAACTGAAAAAATATTTGTTTTGATAGTATTACAAAAGAAAATAAATTGTTTTTTTTCTATTTTAAATCAACATTAGTTCGAGCTAATGATGATCTATCTATAATTTCACTAGAAGATTAAATAAGTTTCAAGATTGTCTTGTTGAAAAGAAACCATACAAATCACTACTTCAGATCAATAAATAACTTACTAATTAAGAGTTTTTCCAATCCTATCTCATGGTACAAAAAGTTTTGTTCCAAGTAACATTGCAACATTAGCAACGCAATCAACAACGAAAACAACAGCAGCCTCAATGTATACATTAATGGCCATGAAGCAACAATACTACATTCGGGACCTTGAATTTTGCATTTCCCAACAACGGTCTATCTGGTATTGCGTAGTTTTTTTATTCATTTTGTTTTTTCTGTTGGATAGACCTATTCGGCCATCTAACGACTTCTTCGTCTCTGATAGGGCCCTTTAGAGTTTTTCTGTTAAGTTTTCGTTATTATTATTATTATTATTATTATTATCTGTAGATTCTGATGAAGTCAAGTTGTAACTTGACAGAACTAGTCAATAAAATTCTACAAAAAAAGAAAATTTTTATTTTCTTTTCAATTATCTCGAGGGAGTGTATTAGTAAAAGATAAGTTATTCGTTCATAAAAATAATCAATTACGCTTTTTTTATTCGTAAAACAAATCGCTTTTGATTAAAAACTATGTGCATCATGTGGATCCAAGTGAACTATGGATAAACTGAAAAGAGTTCATGTTCTTAGCTTATTGCTGAGAAGATATTGCACTTTTTAGGTATTTTTTTGGAATAAATCGTGTTGTGACAGAAAAACTGATTTTCGAATTTCTATTTGAAACTTTATATAGAAACAGATCTTAACGAGAATAATTTCGTTACGAAAGACTCAAGTCTTTTGATTTTCTTCTATCCTAAAATAAGAACATCAAATCAGTCGGTTTATATGAGCTATGTACAGGTGTTAGGATAGAAGATATCAGCTGTTCTTCTCTCTTTTCTTTTGTTCGTTCTTCTGTTGTTTTATACATTTATTCTATTTTTTCTCTTCTTTTGTGTGTGTGTGTGTGTTAGGAGCGTGTTCTTTTAACCTCGGATATATATATAGACAGAGATATATATAGATAGGGAGGAGGGGTGTTTTTTTGTTGGGGAATCTTCTTAAAATTGTTTTTTGGACCAAAAGGAAAATAAAGAAAAGGAGCGTGGCAACGAGAAATCTAACTACAGGACACTCTGTTATCATAGTTGTATCTTAGGAAAGGAACAATGGCAAAATCTGAAACGTTCACACAAAACTATTCTTGTGAAGGGCCTCCTTCCTCAGAAAACTTTATTTTCGTCAAGAAAAAAAAATTTTTTTTTAGATAAACATAGGCACATGTTGCCTGAGCTGTCTAGTGTACGATTTTATAAAAATAATATTGTTTCTCGAAGACTTTGAGAAGTTTTATGAATGATCTTTACAATTATATGTACAACTAATTAGGTCTAGAGCAATCAATGAAATCTTTTCTATAGAGTTAGATCTGCAAAATAAACAAATCTTTTTTTCGAGGTAATCAACTCTTGCACATCTTAGAGACATACTTTTGCGATTTCTAATGACTTAAAGGTGTGGATATAGGTCTTCTCTTCATCATCTTCTAGCCGATGAAAGCAACTCACCATATTTGCTCCTTACCTTAATTAAGATTATGAACTCGCTCAACAAAGCATACTTATAAAAAAGTTTTGATAAATAACCTTGAACTAATAGAATTCTCTGTAAGTAACCAGAGAAACTATTTCGAATATTTGATCAAAAAAAGTCTTGAATAGCTTGCTTCCAGTGACGTAGTCAGGACCACAACCCTTAGATAATTGTCCACGAATTAAAAAGCAATTTCTCATGAATTTTTTTGAAATGATACCAACTTATAATCTAATCAAGTGATCCAGAACAATCAACTGACTATGTTTTTGTTAAAACGATGCCCACAATAATAACAATTCAATGATATTTCTTTTTGTCAAAATACTCGTTATTCCACTTAAATTCGCTAACAGTTCCATTGGGGCTTATTTATATTTTCTAACGTACTCTATATTTCAATATTTGAAAAATTAAAGAGTACATTTATGAAACAGTACAGAAAAAAAATGAATCAGCTTGCATTTTAGTTGAAAGTAATAAATTTCTCTTCAATGAAAATTGGTTTTTTGTGATGGTAATAATTTTTAAAAAACTTATAGTCCAATTGATTTTTAATTGCCCACTACTGTTCACTCCCTAAATCATATAGCTAGGAAACAGCCCATGATTTAAAAATTCCTAGCTATGCCACTGCTTGTTTCTGTAGCTTTTTGCTTCAAAATTTCATTACTTTTGGTATGCCGTAAGTTAGAAGTATCACTTTCGCGTTCCATTGCTGAGAATGGAGAAACACATAACTGTCTCAAATAACAAGATCAGCGAAAATGTATAAACACCTGAACGAATTTAAAAACTGCTAGAAAATGTAGTATGAAATGCATTCTTGTTCCTTGAAAACGAAACGCTCGAGAATAAGAATACTAACACCCCTATATGAGAAGCACTCTTGATTTAATTATTTATATCAAACAAAGGACTAGATTTTGATTAAGTTATAGTATAGATGAAAATTATTTGTTTTTCTTTGCGTAATGTATTGTTCCTTATCGAACTATGATCAAAGATTTCTTTTGTTTTTTTTTGTAATGTATTCATTAAAATTACGACAAGAAAAACTTTAATTGCAAATCGAAAAAAGTATATGCTTGTATATTAAAAATACATAAACAAACGTGATTTCTAGTCTAGAAATATGATGACAGTAGAAAACTTATGGCTCGGCTAGATATATGTATCAAGGAAAAGCAGTTTTACTATGGTTTAACAATTTTTTTTCGTTTTTTCGCTCGTTCTTCATCACTTTTTTTATTTTTTGGCATTTTTTCAATTTCTTTTATAATATCAACTGATGGTCTTGTATCTGCTTTAAGTAACTTCTTCATTTGTTCCAAGCAAGTATCATTTTCCTATGAAAAGAAAACACACATGCAAATAAATTTTTTCTCTTGCAAAAAAGAATCAATTTACTTCAATAGTATTTGATGCAATACAATCACTTGGAACAATTAATTTATAATTTCTCATATAAGCATCATTAGCTGTAAATAAAACACATATATTTCCAGCAACACCAGCAAGAATTAATGTTTCTGTATCTAAATGATTGAGTAATAGATCAAGTGGAGTACAATAAAAACCTGAATGTTTTGGTTTAAGAACAAAATCTAAATAATAATAAAAATACTTATTTAAAAACAATTCTATGTATTAAAAATTACAATCATCTTCTTGTGGATGTAATAATTGAGCAAAATGTTTACCAGGTTTATTTTCATTAATAACATATTCAATAACGTTATGAAAATCTGATTTCCATTTACCAAAATTATCATTAACATAAACTATTGGTATACCAGCTTTACGTGCTGCTTCTGTTAATTTAGCAATATGTGGACCCATTTGTTCAACTACTTTTAATATTTCTATAAAATAAGAAATCGTTGAATTAGAACGAAAAGATCTCTATATTTAAACCTTCATTTCCTTCGAAATCTAAATGATTAATAACATCAATAAGTAATAATGCCATATCATTTGAATCTGGTACCATACCATGAAGATCATCAGATTCTTTAGCCATTTGTAAATTTCTAAAAAAAAATAATGAGTGATTATTATTTATTTTCATGGATTCTTTTCAACCAGTCATGCAACATAAAAACCTGAATCCTATTAAGACAACAATATAGAAGGACATCTGTCGATTGACGATAAGAAGTGAACCAAAAGTTTCTAGACAATGTGTTTTGACTATTTTTCGCGTATTTAAATGCATTGGTAGTGTATTCGAATCAGAATTTTGTACTCTTTCGGAATATATACTTAGAATTTTTCTATGCATTTTGACTATTGAGCTATAACTATACCTTGACCGGACTCAAAAAAATCTTATTTTTCTAAGAATAAGTCTGTATCGAATAAGTTCTATAAGTATCTAGTACTTAACATTGGTCTCTACTCTACAAAATGACGCAAGAATGAAGAGTTTGAATTAATTCAGTAAAAAATGGTAGAGTTATGATGAAGAGTCATTTTGCGTTGAAAAGCCGAAAATCGAAACAATAGAGATTGTTCTTACGATAGACTTTATAAAAGTCTTTACTGCATATCAATAGTTTACAAAACATTTAAATATACCATTTTGTAGAAAATTATTTTCTGTATATTCCAATATATTCAATAAAATTTTCTGGTATGTTTGGAACAAGTTTCATTTGAGATTTTTTTCTACGAACAAAATTTTTGAATCTTTTCAAGATTCACTTATAGCTCAATAGTCAAAAGTCATAGAAACTTTCGACTCAATCTTTGATTATCTAAAACAGACAAATAAATAAAATTGAATATCAATAATTAAACTATGGCGCTTTATTTAATTAATCGAATATTTATTTCTATTTAATGTCCACTCCCAATAATCATTCTCCTACATCAAATTATTTATGTCATAATTGTGGTACAATAAATACAAATGGAACTAGATGTATACAATGTCAATCAGAATTTCTCGAAGAAATTTCTACAGAAATTCATAACACTGAACAATTATCAATTGATAATAATCATCAACAAATACCATTAATTCATAATTTTGAAAATTTATTTAATAATACTTATAATATACAATCATTTACTAATGTGTTATTACCAATGCTTATGTCTCAAACACAAACAGATATTTCACAACATCGTCATCGTCGTGGTAGACCACCACGACGTATTAAACGTATTACACATACTCTACCAAGACATCGATATATACCTTTTCTTGATTTCTTACCATTTCAAGTTATTGATACTCAAACACCTCAAATACCACTCTTAAATATCAATGGATTCATATCTGGACAACCACTAAATACTCAATATGAACCAAATATGGCTCTTGCTCAATTACCATTACATTTTCTTGTTTTTGATCATAATAGAGAAAATTTTAATCCAGAAATATTAATACAATTATTCAATGATGATATTGGTGCTTTACCTTTAACAAGAAATGATATTAATCAATTACCTACACTAACTAGTAAGCTTAAATTTGTTTTTTTTTTATTTATTTATTTTATATTGATCATTAATATTTAATATAATATAAAGGGATAGAATGATCTGGAAACATATAGAATTAACATTAAGCGTATTCAATGAATGATGAAGCCTAAGGATATATATCCGATGAAGTAAAATAATCTTTTAATGTTTCAAAAAGTAGTCACGCATATTTATCATAAAGGAAGATCAAGGATAAGCATTGCTTTGAATAAATAGATTTTTGTTTTCCTAATCATTCTATTTTATTATTGATTTTTAACATTGATTCAAATCATAATAATAAAGTTTACCTACAGTAGCTTCAGATAGAGAAATTTGTTTCCAAAAAGAAAAAAGATTTAGAGAAAATGAAATCCTCTCAATATTCCTAAAATTCAAAACGTAATTTTTCAGCACTGAGAACTCCAAAATAAAAATTTCTCTTGATTAGACAAAGTGATAGAACAGCTAATTCTGCAGAAAATGAGATGTCTTCGAGCTCTCCATGGCATTTTTTGTTAATGAATTACATCAATTTTAAGAGAAGCCTAAAAGTGGTTTTTTTTTTCACTATTTCCGAAGAGAAAAGCGCACACAAAACTTAAAATTAATGTAGTTCAGTCAAAGAATTTCATGGAAAGCTCGAAGACATGTCATCTTCTAGAGAATTAGTTGCTCTATCACGCTGTCTAATCAAAATAAATTGTTGGAGTTCTGATAAAGAAAACACTCAAATTGATATCCGCCGTTTGAGCTCATATTGAGGACACGAGGAGATCTCGGTAAGACTTGAAAACAATAAGGAATATTCTTTCAGGATATTCTCAGAGTCATTAGAGTTATCTATTGGCAAAATTTCATATTCATATTTCTCTATTTGATTTTTCAGTGAAAATCTAAAGCTGAGTCGAAAATTCAGTAAAACGGTCATAACTCGACTCCAGAGATTCATGAGCACGAATTCCTTTAAGCTTTTTCTAGTCTTACTGAGACCTTTTGTGAGGATTTCGTTTTTCTCAAATATTTTCGTTTTGGAAAGAAACTTCTCTCATCAAAATCGCTGTATTCTTTTTATTAGTAACTACCATTTATGTTCAAAATCTAATAAAATTTTAGTGACTCCATCAAATCTTTCCGTCAATCCATCATGTGCTATTTGTCTCGAAAATTTCGATTCATTGTCCGAAGTGAAACAATTACCAATATGTCATCATGTATTTCATACAAATTGTTTAACAGAATGGCTTCTTCATCATGGCAATTGTCCAATGTGTCGAACAACATTAATTTCATCGATTCAACGAATACCAAATTCAATATTTAATAATCATTGGATGCAACAATTATTTTCTAGAACATTTGGACAACAACAACAAACTGATGTACCTGTCAGTAATACTATCGTTTCATATCCACCAATTAAAACAATAAATTCATTAGAAATTTCATCAAATACAATAGCATCTGATCATTCATCATCTGATACTCCTCAATTACCACATTTTGATTCACAAACACATACTGATTCATCATCAAATATAGAATAATATTTACCTTTATATTTCTTTTTTTAATCTTCATATTCTTAACAAATAAACGAAAACAAATGTAAGACTATTTAAAATTTTTCTTTTTTTTGTTTTCTTCTTCTTCTTCTAATTTTTTTCACACATTTTTTTTTTGTTATATCAGTTCCGCGAACACAAAAAAAATAGAGATAAAAGGATTCATTTCATCATCATGAAACGTATTTAGAAATAAAAAACAAAAACCAAACATATAGATGATGGTTGATAAAAGTAAATCAACAAACATATATATATACATACATATATATATATGTATACAGATTCGAAAAAAAGAATGATGATGACTGTGACAGAACGGTATATAATGAAATAGAAAACAGCCGAAAAAAAACCAAGAGCATTTGTGAAAATACAAGATGTTCAAAAACTAAAATATCAACACAGAAAAAAAAAGAAAAAGAAGCAAAACATAGAATAGGCTCACTGCGAGATGTACTGTACATACGAAATAAAGAAGATATTAGAAAAACGAAAGAAAAAAAAAATGAAGAACACATTATTTGATCATATCACTGTCTCTACACTCACAAAAAAAAGAAAGAAAGAGAATACAAGTCACTGTTCTTTCAAAGAATATTTCTTTTTCTTTTCCTATCTGAGTGTTAATATAATAATTATTTAAAACAAAATAAAAAAAAAACACAATGCTTCTATGTATACATATAATCATCCCCAATGAGCAGAGAGATGAATTGGATGTGGTTGACATAAAAATTGTTGATGTTGTTGTTGTTCAGATAAATCATTAGCACTATGTTGTGATGAACTATCATCAATATCATCAGGCATATCATCATGTGTTCGATCGTCTTCATTCATACTTGGAATTAAACTATTAGATAAAATTGTTAATGAATTAAAGTGTTGTGGTGACTTTGTTAATGGATGATGAATTAGATTTGTATTACGAGTTTTTTGATGAACTTTTCCATGACGTTTACGTTCATCAGATCGAGCAAACCGACGACCACATGTATCACAAGAAAATGGTTTTTCTTTAAAAAAAAGAAAAAGAAAAAATATATTAAAAATTTGATTTCTCTTTTTTTTTCTTACCTCCAGTATGTGTTCGAATATGTGTTGTTAAATGATCGGATCTTGAAAATGCTCGAGCACAAATTTTACATTGAAATGGTTTATCTCCTGTATGAATTCGAATATGTCTAGAAAGAATAAAAAAAAAACAAAAAAAAAAGATCAAATTTAATAAATTAAAATTAAGTTTTTCTTTCTGCTAATATATCACCTTGTTAATTCGTCTGATCGTGAAAATCTTCTTGGACAATGTTCAATAGGACATGGAAATGGTCTTTCATGTAGTGGTGTTTTTGATGGTCTATTTGGATAATTTTTTGGTTTAGCAAATTGCATTGCTTGACCATTAGCAGTTGTTGTTGGATAATCTTGTGGTTCATTTTTAACACAAGATGATATTAATGGTGTTTGTATATTAAATGTAGTTGTTGATGTTGTTGTCCAATCATTTGTTCCTGTTGTTTTACCATATGAAAGACCGGTACCATTTAAATTTAATGTTGGCATAAAATTATTAATAGATGTTGGTGGCTTAACTACAGCTTCATGATAGGACGGAGGTGCTTGATGTGTTCCATACGGAACATAATGAGATTGATCAACATAATTCATTGTTGTTTCATTTGTTGATGTTGATGAGGGTACTGTTAGAGAATTTGATACTGATGTTGTACTGTTCGATGGATTGATACTATAATCTGTAACAACTGGATTTGATGTTAATAATGTATGAATTTGATCATTAACACTTGCTACATCATGATCATTTTTATTATTTGTATCACTTAAATTTGAATTTTCAATTAATGTTTTTGACGATGATGATGGTGGTGATGTTGTTGTATGTGGAATAGATTTTTTTAATTGTAAATTTAATGGAAACGGTTTATTTTCATTAATTAAACTACGTGGCAATTGCATTTTTCTATCGTCATAGATATTCGATGATGATGACGATGTTGACGATACATCAACAACGTTTGATAATGTTGAACTACTAGTAACAACTATTGATGGAATAGATGATGATACTGACGATGAAGATGTTAAAAGTTGATTTGAAGAATTTTGATGAGATGGTAATATATCAATAGAAGACGATGAATCTGATAATGAAGAAGGTGGTGGTTGTCCTAATGATTGAGTAAGTACTGAGACAGTCGGTGATTGGGTGTCTAAAAAATATAAAACGTTACGTATTGTTATTTCGGTGTGAGAGTAATAAAAGAAAAAGAATAAATGAATAGAATAAGATCGATTAGACGTTTTTGATATGCACTGTCAAATCAATAGATGACCCGACATATGTATATATGAGAATGCCTAATATTTTAACTTCTAAGCACGTTTATTTGATCATAAGAATGAATAAGAAAAAATTCTATTCACTTAATATAGTTTTAAAAACTTGTTATTGATTCAATAGAAAAGGTGACGCGCCATTATATTTTTAATAACATAAACAAAAAAAAAAAAAAAAGAAAACATGCCCACATCAAATCCATTATCATTAATTGTATCATCAACATTAAATAACGATTCGAAATTCTTCTTCAATCCATTTACTTATAAATTCAATTTAAACGAATTAAAACCATCTATTGGTGAACCATTTTCATATTTTACACAAGCATCATGGACAATATTTTCTTCATCTGTATTTAATAGTATTGGATCAAAATCATCAGACATACCTGCTTCTAGTTCGTCAACGGAAATAACACCAAATGAACGACCGATTACAATTGAATGATAATGACGGATAAACGCTTTTTTTTGTCCCTTCTTTTCTCTTTCTCTTTCTTTCTCTCTCGTTCTCCTTTCTTCTCTTTTCGACTGGTGCTATTCTACTTGATGATGAAACCTTTTCTTTTCGATCGACCCAAAAAAAAAAGAGCTGTAGTAACATCAATTAAAGCAGAAGAAACGAGCAAATCGTCCTCGTTGTGCTAAGACCTCGTGTCAACAAAAGCAGCAAGCTCAGCGCAAACACGCCCTTTTACAATTCTTTCTCTATCGCAAAGGTGGATTATACACTTGGTAGTAATAGGAGTTCAACGAATACGAAAGAAGTTCGAGGATTTTCTTTTCTTTTCTTTGCTTTTTTTTTCTTATTCATTCGGATCGAAATAGATGATATAAATCCGAAGAAGAAAAATTGAATTTGAACAGATTCTCAATATGATAATCAAAAGATAATCATCATCTTATCTACAAATATAGACACATTAACAAATATTAACCTGTTGATGACACAATAGAGTAACAAAAAAAAAAAAGCGAAAAAAAAATTAAATTAACAAATACTAATACTAATACATATCGAATACAATATATTACTTATAACTATTTGCTGTAGGAAATAAATATTCATTTCAAATAGCACAGAAGATAACAACTGACTGAGTAAGCATCGTTGCCTGTCATCACTAACGCTACTTGCTTATGTTGTTAATCATTATCTATACCAAGGTTGTCTCTTTCTCTCTCTCTCTCTTTTTCTTTTGCATTCTCACAAAATAACAGACATGACTTATGCTTTGATATTGTTCCTAATGAGACACAGATCGTCTCTCTCGTATCTATTTATTATTCTGAACTGAGATGTTTTTTGTTATTGTCCTTTCTTTTTTGTTTCTATTAATACAATTATCCATAAATTCAAAATAATATCAAACAAAAAAAAGACATTCAAGGACATAAAATATTTCTATTTTCTACTAAAACTGATGAGTGACAATTACGTGATTAGAATGCTAATCTTTTCTTTGCTTACTAAAAAAAGGCCATCTATTTATCTAAACAAAAATGAATAGACTTGATGAAATCGTATTAGAATATGTATAAATAGACCAAGGTAGAAAAACCTTGAGTAGAATATACATACACTTGGCGACTACTAGATTCTGTAGTGAAATGTTAGATAACATAAATTAACCATATCGGCATTGGATATTTACTTATGACAATCATTGTCAAACCGTTGTGATAGTTATATATATATATAGTTTATAATACTGTATCATTGAAGATAGTTTACATGAAAACATAGTTAATCGGTTTTTTTTTCTTTTATAAAAAGATATGACATGTTGAAGAGAAACAAGGAAAAAACAACTGTTTATATATGTAAATATTAGAACTATTTAAAAATCTTTTTCCTCTTACTCAATTTTTCTAATTAGCATAGAGAGAGAAAAAAAACAAATCTTACCAGTTGATGTTGATGTATGCACAGTAGATGGAATTTCATAAAAAAATGTTGAATTTTTTGTACAAGTATTTGGTGTATTTAATACACATGGTGTTGTTGGTTCTTGTGATATATTTCCATTTAAAAGAAGCATTTTTTCACTATTAACTATTGATGGTGTTTGATCATCATTTGTCGTTGATGAATCTGAATTTGTTATAACTGTACTTGCTTTCGTCAGGTGATTCATTCTGACAATAGCAAGAATCACCATTTGATATTAAAAGTTAAAAATAAACGATAAACATTTTTTCTTTCTTTCTTTGGAAGTTCGTTTTTTTCTTTTTATAATGAAGCCACTAATATTTCAATTTTATTATATATAAATGATTAAAGATGACGAAATAATTTACCTGACTTTGAAAAAATGTTAGCAAGACGTCATATAACCTTCTATCGAAAGATAAATAAAGCGGGGACTGGCTCAATGGATATATATATATATATATATATATATATATATTTAGGTGAGCAAATGCGTCGCGTGTATCTCTGTCAAACAAATAAATCGTCTGATTAATAAATAAATAAATAAATAAATCTGAAAGGAAAATATTATATGACACCAATATCAGAGAATAGAAGAAAAAAAAAACAACAATATGATTCACGCATCTGTACGTTTACTAATAGTAACCTTAACAAAAACATAAATTATTTTTTTTTCTTCCAATACATATATATATAGGACAAACCTGATTAAAAAAAGCAGTCAAGCGATTCATGTATCTAATAATCGCTCAAAATTCTAATTCATTAGGCGTTTTATATGAGAAAAAAATGAAAAGCCTAAATCACTGCACATAATATACCTATATTCTTGTTGTTCTGCATGAATAATAATAAATAGGTAGAAGAAAACTATTCTATATTTCTGACGTTTGTTTTTTCTTTCTATTCAAAAGAAAAGCATGTCCATTATAATATATTTATCAACTTGTTAAAAATATACATACGCATATAGAAAAAAAAAAGAATTGATTCTTGTTATAAACTCGTTTTTGCCTTGTCGTCATCGACGACGACGACGATGTTCGGTTTCTTTTTTACCCGATATTTTTCTGCAACAACAGCATACACACAGACAGAAAAAGAAAAAAAAGCATTTGCGCGCTTTTTATTGCTTTTTACGCGACCAAATAAGACAGAAGAAGGAAAAAAGGACTGAGAAAAAGAATCATCAATGTAGATAGCACGAGTACCTCCTTTCCAATAAAAAAAGAGCACATGAATAATCAAGAACAGGTTACTTGTTCTGTTTTTTTTTTCTTTTCTTTTCACACACATGTTGAGCAGTCAAACCAAACAGATGCTAAATATTCTTCAGAGACTTATAAGTAGAATATCAAATGACTTTTATCTAGTTTTTAGGTCTGATCAATATATATTATAATAGTTACGAATTTATTTGATAATAAAACAACATAGTATAACTGATATGTATTATTTTCCCTGAAGAGTACACTGAAATACAATGAGGTATTCATATACAAAAAAATCAACATAAAACAAAAAAAGAAATGAATAATTTTTTTTCTTATTTGGATTTGGATTAAAATAATAATTCCTTTCGTTTCGAAATTTTGCTGCTATATTTCATATGTTAAAATAAAAACATTTCTTTTTTTTTTCTTTTCTAATTTTCAAAACTGAAATGAAAAAAAAGAGGTAAATAAGTGGTCTATTTAATGATTGGAGACTTTAATCAACCAATTCGAAGGTTGTATAGAAAATCATGACATCTGGAAAGCATGACATAAATCTATGCTTGCTTTTTTTTTCTTTAAATGCTTTTTTTCGACTTAATCTCGATTGACATATTTATTCAATATGGTAAATAAAAATTTGCCTATTACGAAACCGTTTTGTGGAAGATTTCAAAAAAGAAAATATCGATATTTTATTGTCATGGAATTCTAGCGTCATAATTATTGTATAATGAATAAGGACCAATTGTTTATCAAACAGAACATTATCAATTAGTGAAGATTCTATATTATCGACTAAAAATCCAGTGAGAATAAAATGAAAATGAAATTACAATTTTGAATTGAAGTTTTTGAATCCTGAGAGAATTATTCTTAATTAATGTTAACTTTTATTCATTAGTGATTTTTTTTGGTAATTATTAGATAAATGAATTTGATAAGACGATCATATCCAAATGGTTTGCATTTCTTTAAAACATATCCAAACATAAACAATTCGATATATTCTCTCGTTATCTTAAAATCATGTGCTATTTAAACTCATTTAATTTTTTACTGAAACATACTATTAATGAACAAATATTCGACAGTACAATTTCATATTTAATTCATCTACAAATCTTTTTATTATTTCAAAAAAAAACCAAAATGTAATATATTTCAAAAGATTATTTTTCTTAGTAAATAAATGAATCAATCTCAAATAGTTTTTTATAAAATATATTTTCTAGATTTTTTTTGATTATTGAAATATTTAAAAGTAATTTTAAACTTTGAAAAATCAAAAAAAAAAGAATGCAATCATCGTTTACTTCTAAAGAGTAATGATTGAAAATTTAAATTTAAATTTATAATTTTGTCTTTTGTTAGTTCAGAATCTGAAGAATCTAAACGATTAGAACGACGACGAAATCGTTTTACAAATCAATCAACATCTATAATTAATAAATCAGTAAAAATAATCCGTTGAATTTATTTATATATTCAATAATTTATTGTATAGATTCAATTAACGAATGAAACGAATCAATCCTTGATAGGTACATGTGAAAAATTAGAAAAGAATTATCTTCGGTTAACAAGTGTAAATTTTTTTTTGGCATTGAGAAGTAGTTTATTGATTTTTTTCTTTCAGGCGCCTAATCCATCAACAATTCGACCATTGGCAATTCTTGAACAAGCATTTTCTTTTGTTATAAATAAATATAAATCAAATAATGATTGGTCATATATTAGTAATCAATTAAAAAGTATTCGACAAGATCTTATGGTACAATCAATACGAAATGATTTTACAGTATTAGTTTATGAAGAAAATGCTCGAATAGCACTTGAAATAGTACGCATGAATAATAATAAAAAATGTTGTTTTTTTTTAAAGAATTTTATATTTAGGGTGATCTTGATCAGTTTATTCAATGTCAAGCACAGTTAGAAATGTTATATGATAGTGGTTGTAATCGTACTAATTTAATTGAATTTCTTATTTATCGTTTACTCTATTCATTATTACTTAATGATTATAAAAGTAATAATATAATAAATTATTATGTTTAGTTATTGGTTTTTCTTCTTCATAAATTGTGTTTATTTTAATTTTAATTAGAAGCAAATCGAATTTTAATTGATATTGATGAAACAAATATATTATTAAGAAAGTCAAACAATATTGATATTGTTCTTGAATTTTGTTCATCATTTCGTCGAAAAAATTATATTCAATTATTTACACTCTATAAATCTTTACCTAAACTTGCTTGTTGTTTAGTAAATTTTTTTATTGATATTTATCGTAAACAAATGATTCAGATTTTAATTTGGGGGTCTGTATGTTCATGAAAGATAAACTTAGAAAGAGAATTTAGTTTTTTGTTTTATTTAAGATTTGCTCCAACACTTTCAATTGATGTTGTTACTACTATGTTGGCTTACGAATCAAATGAGATCTGTCGAGAACATCTCAGTTCACTGGGTGTTATATTCATCGATGAATCAATGTCTATTGATTGTAAAACAAGTCGAACGAGTTTTGATAAAAAATGATATTGGATGAATCATTATGTTTTTTATTATACGGAATAATGTATGTTTTACGATCGGATCGATTCGAGTATTTTTTTTAATAGGATTAATATTCGGCTCTATTATCGAATTCTTGGAAAAGCGAAAACAATAAATATGACCGTTAATTTTTCCACGAGAAAAAATCTTATGTCTTTCTTCGAAACCGTATGACTATTTACCTGTTCTTGTTCTTTTTTTTTCTATTTTAATTTGAGTGAATTACGAAAACCAAAAGGAGAAGTTTAAATTTTGATTAATAGTATGAAGTAAGATAAATCATCGTTGTTATTCATCATTTATTTATATTAATAACAGTAATGTTTAATATATTCTAAGAAAATGATGAATGAGACACACTCTTTTTTTGATAAATTTTTACTATATTCCGCGAAGTTAACATTTTTTTTCGACTACGATAAAGAAACAACTATTCTTTGTTTTTCTGCATTTTATCGACGAAATGTTTCGTAAGTCATCATCTTATTGACATTTTCTCACGTATCCAAGGACGAGAAAAAAAAGAAGAGAAAAGAAAAAAGAAGTACTATCGTACTTCGAGGAATCACATACGATATCGTGACGTTTTTAGTCTTAACTTGTGATAAAAATATTTTATCAATTCCCAATGAATACATATTTTTTAATAAGATCAATAATTTATTTAAATACGATATGTATTATAATTGCTCAAAGCAAACATTATGATCATAATACATTAAAATTTCATGATATCAATGATCCAATAATTGGTATTGTTCAAAATTTTATTTTTAACTATATTATTATTATTAATGAACATTGTTTTTTTTTCTTTTTGTAAATTTAGATCAAGTAGAATTGGTACTTAATTCAACAGATAATGAACGTATTTTCTATTGTTCTAGTCGAATTGAATTCGATAAGCAACGTGATAAATTAGTGGCTTCAATTGATAATCCAGTTTTAACTTCTCCATCATTTCAATTAAAAACTGAACAAGCTAATTCTACTACTATACGTATTCGTATTATACCAAATGGTTATATCGGTGTTAATCGCATTAGTTGTCATTGGAATAAAAGTATTACCGATGGTCAACCGGTGGATCTTATAATTGGAGGTAATATTGAAATAAAGAAAAGTGAAGTTTTTTTTTTCTAATTAGAAATTTTACATAATACAAAAAGAAATTAAGAAAAATTTCGATCATAATGTTTTACATTTTTTCTATTTTTATGATTATTATTTAATCTTTAACTAAGCTTTATTCTTTATGTATAAAAAGAAGATTATAATATTATTTTCTTTTCTTACATCTTATCAGATGTGATGACAGAAAATGAATGATGAGTGCTATGATCAAATTGTGGTACATTTTGGTCTTTTTTTTCTTTCGAATTTCGAGAAAAGCTTATAGAATTATGTTTTGTTTTTGGCAGTGTCCATTGTATTTGTATGTCCTTGAAAGTCTTAGAAATGAAGTTTTTATTTTAATTATTGAAAATTGATATATTTTCATTTTACTACCAATAACTTAAAACCATAAATCTATCATTGTTTTTTTATTACATCATAATATATTGATATCAAAACTATTATAAGCGTATAGAATTCAAAAGAAAGATTCGTTTTTCTTTTATGTGACTCAAAATAAAATTAATGTCATATATTGGGCATGACATACTTAAGTTGTCATAAAATATTTTCGTACTTGAATAGAAATAATAAAAAATACGGATAAGTATTTATCTTCTCGTAACAACGAAATACAAAAAAAATGTGCTTTATAGAACAACCTGGTCGTATTCAACTAAAAGAATCTTGTCAAGCACATGATCGTCGTTATGTTCAATGTATATTTAATGCACCAACAATTTCACGTGCTTTTCGAAATGGTTTTCCTCGACTTTATGAATTTTCAGAATTTAGTTCTAAGTATATTTAAATTAATATTTAAAAATTAATATTTTCTTTTTTTAATTTTATTTAGAACAGAATATCGTCATCCACCAGAACTCGTTAATATTACTAATGAAAATGAACTTGTTTTCAATTTTGTACCTAGTGAAAAAAATCGAATTCCAAAAAAAATTTCTGTGGGTGTAAACATGACATTAAGACGTTTTGGTTCAGCTTATTACAGATTTCATATTGAACCTAGTAAGAACTATGATAGTTTAGTTTTTTTTTTATAAACAATAAATTTTTCTATTTTATTTCTAGTACATACAACGAAAGTTGATTTTCGAATAGAAAATATCTCAAGTAATCATTTAACTATTGTGATTAATCATAATAATACAGGAACGATAAGGGAACGTTTATGTTCTGGACATGTTAATCAAGTAGATAATCAAAATACATTAATAGCAGTTCAAGTTAGAAATTTAGTGGTACTATAAAATATCAAAGAATATTATTTTCTAGGATATTGTGGAAATATCAGATCGAAAGATTGCGATTGATCGTCTTCGTCCATCAACAAAATATACAATTTGTCTTTATTGTTATTATGAACGGACTGATCAATCATTTAAAAAAGAAATATGTCATACAATTAACACTAAAGGTATATTGATTGTAGATATGTGCGTAATTCTTTCGAAAGCGTACTATAATTACATCGACTTCATGTGAATGGCATGAAACTTTCTGAACTAGTAGAACTTGATATCCTGATTTCAAAAATCATCTTTAAAATGTTTTAAATTGATTCTGCGATAGGTTCTCGACCATCAATTCCAACAGCATTTCCGACCAAAACTGGATTTCTAGAATTTCTTTTTAAAAAATTATAGAAAGCTAAAACTTTCTGAGTGATACTAGTCAATGAGATGATTATTTCATTAAGCGGAAGCTTTTTTCTTCAATGTCTTCTTTGTATTGAAAATTTTTCTAGAAAAGTCAATTTTTTCGGGATTTTGAAAGCTTAATTTGTTTGACAATGAAGAAGATTTAATTATCAATTTTATATGTGTTAGAATCATCTCTAAATATACTATCTAGTTATAAGATTTGTTATGGTTTGAAACAAAAGCTGGTCATTCAGAAAAAGAAGTGCGGCGGAAAATTTCCACTTCTTTCTGATGTTTGAGATTGTCTACTGAAAGAACCAAAGATTCATATGAGGAAAATAACATACATTCGTGGTCTATTCAAGCAGAACTAGCAAAAAACATGATATTTAGACATTGACCCTGCACTTTTAGAATCGACGGCTTTTCAATGAGATTTTCGGATTTTTCAAACTCATTAGTCATCGAAGCAAATACGTTTTTGTTATAGCCAATGTCAAGAATATCTTAAATATAAGGTTTTTCCTTGATCGGAATCCTTAATTTTTTCAGTAGACAGTCCCAAAGTTTAGTAAAAAGTGAAAACCTTCTCCCGAAATTCCTCTACTTAGCGATCGACTCTTGTTTCAAATCTTAACAAATCTCATAACTAGATAGTATATTTAGAGATGATTCTAACACATATAAAATTGATAATTGAATCTTGTTCCTTGTCAGAGAAATAAGCTTTCAAAATCCCGAAAAAATTGACTTTTCTAGAAAAATTTTCAATGTAAAGAAGACATCAAAGAAAAAAGCTTCCGCTTAATAAAATAATCGTCTCATTGACTAGTATCAACTCTGACAGTTTTAGCTTTTTATAACTTATCATAGAAAAATTCTATAAATCTAGTTGTGACTGGAAGTATTGTTGTAATTGATGGTCGTAAATCACCACGGGACCAATTTAAAACATTTTCAAGATAGTTTTTAAAATTAGTATATCAAGTTCTACTAATCTAAAAAGTTTCATGCCATTCATATGAAGTCGATGTAAACTCTGGTATATTCAACGAAAGAATCAACCATTTAGTATATTTATTTGCCTATTTAGAAACCAATAAATCTTTTTTATGGATTGGTAGATTTATCATGATTGGTGTAGTTATCATATTGTGTTTGATCATGTACGTATTTAAAAAAAGTAAAATTTTTCATAGATGATTATTTTGTTTTAGATATGTCGTTTATAAGAATAAATTTTGTGCTGAAAATATTTCACCAATATCTAGTTTATGTGTAAGTTTTTGAAAAGTACAAAGAAGTGAACTTTTTTTTCTCTGTTAATTACTAATCATATCATAAATTAATTCAATATATTGCTAAATTTATTGTTTTTCTTATAGGGAAAACGACCTCTTAATTCTAGCACAAAAGTTTTGACTGACAAAAGAGAGGTTAGCAGCTTGAAATTAATCAATTATTATATAGATAATGAAAACAATAGCTTTTCAAGAATTTAATTTTAAATGCTTTTTATGACTAAAAGAATAGCTTTGCCTTTCATTACTAAAAAGTTTATAATAAGCTGTATAAAAAAACTTAATTATAAATTTATATTTTTAAAAATTATTTAAACAAAAAAAAAAAAGAATAAATTTTAGATCAAATTTCATGTATAAAACTTTTGCTTTTTAATGATAATTAGTACATTTGGTATTCTATTTAGGACATACGACATTCATCCCCTACACATTTCGATGATAACCGTTATACTTCTCAGCCAAATGTGGTAACTGACAGATTTACTTTATTTAACAACGTTGTATTTTATATTTCTAGCAAGAAATAGATCATCTTTTAATACCAAATTCTGATACTTCATCAACACAACCGAGCGATGGTTTAATTGATGCTGGAGATGATCGATCATTAGAAGAAAAATATCAACGTATAGTAAATGAAATCAATATTAAAATGATGACATTATTTTATTCTAATTTTCATTTAGGACAATATTATGGAACATATGACAGATAAAAATTTAGTATCACCGGATACAATTGATCTTTCAAATCAAAAAAATGTATAATACATATCGTGATCATCATCGTCTTCTATCAAATATTCCAAACATGACTTATGCACAAATATAAAAAACTTAATTGCTGTTATCTAATGTGATATGAAAAAAAAACCGACGTGAAATTCATTTTGATAGTCTTTATTTATATATGTACATGTTGTTGTTACATTATATGCATTCGTTTTTTTTTTATAACGATGCAGAAAAAAAAAAGAAAAAGAATCAATTCAATTTCTTAAATCGATATAAATCGTATGAATTACATACAGTAACAATTTAGATGTATAAAAATTGCATAGCCATATGTATGTACACTTGTCAAGGCAAATGTAGTTACAAGAAAAGCGATCATATAGTGAAAGCAAAAAAAAAATCAAAGGGAGTTTTTTTTTTATGTAGATCGATGCATTTTTTTATATTGAAAGAGAGAATATGACAAAAACCGAACCAATCGAGAACAAATATTTGTGTAAACTTTAATATAACTGTACATATATTATAATCATTTTACGCATATATATGTATATAAGTATTCATACATATATTTCTTCGTGTAAAGCAATGCCAATGGTAAAAATAATTTTATTATTTTTGATCATATCAGCTACCTGTAAGTTATCTAATTTGATTCTTTTGATCATGAATACAAGTATGAAGTATTTATAATAGTTGTGGATGCTCGTGTGCGTCGTAAACGACGTCAATTATCATCAGCAAGTTATTATATCTCAGATGTAAATCCATATTCCGGCTCTTATTCTCCATCATCACCTTTAACATATCCATCAGGTTCATATTATAATGCTCCTAATTATGGTTATTCAAATACGGGCTATAATGGAGATCAACCTGATATTACGAATTATTACGCTAATGATTTAAGTCAATATGGTCCAGTATATCCGCCTAATTATAATATGCAGTATCCGTTGGGACCAAGTCAGCCTTATGAACTTCCAAATTTAGGTAGTGCCTATGGTAGTGGACTGTATGGAGCGTACGGAACACTGCAATATGGTTATGGAGCTACAGGATTTAATAATCGATATCCTAATTGGCAACAAGGGAATGTTGCTCAATATTTTACAGGTGGAACAGGTAGTGGTTTAGTTCTTCCAAATTATCAGTGGTATCGATCAAACAGAAATGTTCCTTTCCAAGGACGATCAGGTGATGGTCGCGATCGCAGTTCTATTGGACTAAATCCACCTGTGCCTTCTGACAAGTCGGCCGCAATTAGCCCACGAGTCAAGCGAAAAGCTTAATAACATTTGTTGATATAACATGTTGACTCTCGCATTGACAAGACTTATTTCATTTGTACTTGTTATAAATGATTTTATTCCTATGATTTAAATGACATAGACTAGGCAATTGCTATTTATTTACTTATAAAATTGTAAAAGCTTTTTTCTGTTTTTTTTTATTGAAATTTAATTCAATTTGCTTGAAAATGTATTGAAATCATTCAACTTACTATTTATATCAGCCAATATAACCAGAAAAAAAGAATAGATATATTTAGACTTAATAATGTTTTTTGATTTTCTTCAAACTAATTTTTGTCTGTTGTTTCCTTCGAAGAAATTTTTGTCTCTGCCATTACTAATTTATTGTCATAAACAAAAAAAAAGAGAGAGAGAATATTATTGAAATCAGTTTTTCTCTTTTTTTTTCATCTATAAATAACGCCTGCCATATGAAAAAAATTGACGATTGTAGACAATTAACTTTGTTCTCTTACACCAATAAGGTGACCAAAAAAAAAAATATTGCTTAAAAATAAAGCGAGAAACTATAACGAACGAAGAAAAAAAATTGTATAGATATGGCAGATCTGCATAATTATGTTTGTTATTGCATTTCTTGCAGGCACTTGAAGGTAAAAGATTGATGAATAACCCGTCCCAGTAAATAATAGCATTGGATGCATGTTCCTAGCTATGTACACAACAAAAAAAAAGACCAAGAGACAGCAGAGAGAGAAAAAGAAAAAAAGTTGTTGTCGTACGTATTTAGCATATCGTAATGGTGCAGAAGAACTAACGACAATGACTGAGAAGAGAAAAAAAATTGTCAGGAGTATAGAGGAAGGAAAAATAGTTCTCTTTTACGTAGTTACTATCGATAAATATTTATATACTTGGACTTTCGTTTAATAGAAAAAATAAAATACCTATAGCTACTATCGATAATAACTTCTCGCAAAATGTACTCAAAGTATTAACTTCATTATCTATATTGATTTCTAATTATTTTAAAAATTTTATCTATCATTATTTGCAGATTATCTAAACAAGAGGATATTATCATTTGAATAATAACATATCATGTGGTCGACTAATATAATCATTGTTGCACTACTTGTACAAATATTGTTAATCACTGGTAAGTCTCTGTTTTCTACATATCAGTGCAATTTCATTTAAATTTCCATATCTATAAAAAAAACTGAACATCTGAGATTTAAATTGTGTAATTAATTTTATCAGTTCTGATTAAATATTCAATCAAATCAAAGACTAAAATTTGTCATTAAGTTTAAAATTCATTCTAAAATGAATAATATCTTTCGAAATGACTCATCGACTTATTATTCACCTCGCCATGTTTTTTTTTCTTTATTTAGATATCAATAGTAGTGCTAATCGTCGTCGACGTCGCCGTCAAACATCAGGATCATTATATGGTACAAATGCAGGCTTAGGTTCAAGTGCGCCTGCAGGTTTTAATTATCCCGCAAATACTAATATACAGGGTATACGTTTGAATAATGCAGATGCACGGGATATGTATGGCAATCCTATAGGATCATCATCAAATACAGATAATAATTTACAAAGTGTTAATTTGTACGGTCTACCACGTCCACAACAGCAGCAATTATATGGAACAAATGATCAATCATCATTAAATTCTTTATATGGTGGAAATAATTTTTATTATGGTAGTGGTACAAATCCAATTTTACGTGATCAATATGGAAATCCGATCTCACCAGGTTATTTATAAAAATTAAAAATTGAATTTAAAAAAAAAGTGTTTTCTTTTATAGTTAGTGGATCTGCTGGTAATTCATTGTATCCGTCGTCAAATGCTCAAATGGCTTATCCACCTGGTTCAAATCAAGTTTTAACTAATAAAGACTTTTATGGTACGTCATCAAATACAAATAATAATCAATATCCTTATAATAACAATCCATTACCAAACTCTAACACTTATAGTGGATTGATGGATACGAATGCGAATCAAAATTTTTTGCCAAATACAAACAATAATCAATATTCTTATAATAATAATCCAGGACCAAATCCTAATAGTTATGGTGGACCGATAGATCCTAATGCAAATAAAAACTCATGGCCAAATACAAATAATAATCAATATTCTTATAATAATAATCTCGGACCAAACCCTAATACTTATGGTGGACCGATAGATCCTAATGCAAATAAAAACTCATGGCCAAATACAAATAATAATCTCGGACCAAACCCTAATACTTATGGTGGACCGATAGATCCTAATACGAATAAAAATTCATGGCCAAATACAAATACTAATAATCGATTAAATCAAAATTCTGCTAATTCTTGGTATTCAAATAAAGATAACAATTTTCAAAATTCTAATAGATACGGACAACAAAATCCATATTATTATAATAACAGTTATCGATCAACAGTATCATATTTTATTATATTTCTCTCACTTTTTGCTACTCTTGTTTGACAATTATAAATCGTGAGTTATTTGTATAGAATTTTAAAAAATATCTTCCAACATTGTATACGCGCGCCTTTTTTTTTCTTTTGTTTTATATAAGACTTTGTGTTATACTAATGTATTTCAATATGGAAGTTTGTGCTATAAACTATACTTTTGTTTTTTTTTTGATAAAATTTCAATATTAACGAAATAGAATCCATGAAAAATATGATACGTTCAACGTTAAACTATTTAAAGTGTTCAAAACACGTAATTGTAATAAATGACAAGTAAAGACTAGAATTTATTTCTTAGTAATAGAACGTTGAATAAACATCTTTAGTGTTTTTTTGAAAGTATCATTCCAAACAGCATATATTAACTAAACAAACAACTGTTTGCTATGTTTATGTATCCTTGAGGTTCGCTTTTCAGCCAGCAACAAAAAATAAAATAAAATAAAATAAAATTAGTCAAATGATTCGTTGTTATGAAGATAAGTTTTGATATTTTATACTGTTACATTAGTTTCAATATCGATTTCTTGAGGAAAAAAAGAATTCATCTTTAAAATAATTTGCCTATTGCTTTTTTTAGCTGCAGTATTACATAAAAAATAACAGTAATTTTCAAAGAAATTTGTTAGTTTAATTGAAATTTTTTCTTAAAATTCATTCATTTGTATAATTTCTAACAGTTAACTGCACGACCTTACTTTTTGAAGACATCTATTTATGGCAATGCTTAAATCTCACTTGTCTAGAAATCATTGACTATTGTTCTGCTTTAACTTTTTTTAGTAAGTATTCTTGATCAAAATTGTTAATCGCTTATGTTAAAGCGAATTTCAATGACTGTTTACTTTTGTGCATTGTTGTTTTACGAAGTTAGTTAATAATTACAATTATTTTGCCAACAAGAAACCAATGAAAATCAGATAATATCGATCGTCGAGAATAAATGTTTTGTATTATTCAAGTTAATATTTCATACTTGAAAATTTGTTGTTTTTATTTCTTGATAACTAAATAAGATATCGATCCATTTCTTTTTGTAATAATTGTGTTCTTTTATTTGTTATTCACCTGAAAATTGTCCTCGATTTGAAAAGAAGAAAAAAAGTGAAACAAATTCTCATGACAGAATATGTTTGTCTTTGTGAATGAGAAGCCAGTTGCTCTTATCATCAACTCGATTTTTCTGCCATGGGCACGAAAATATACTTCTCTATTGTTGATGTTACTTTCAAAAATTTTTTTGTTGTATTCTTTTTTTGTTTCGTTGAATTCGAGTGGAAAACGATGTTTGTTTCGTTCTTGCATACTTCTTTTTCTCTATTTGTCAATCATTTAGTGATGACTCTGTCAAACATATAAAAAGCAAGAAAAAAAAAAAAGAGATTAAAAAAGTGTTTTACCTGTTGTGTCAACGAAACGAAAAGCAACATCAGTGACAACGACAGCAACGGTGTAAATTTATCACAGATAACAACTAGACATACTATTATCAAAACAATTAACATTTGTTTTTCGGCGACAAATTTTTGTTGTAAGTAAAAATATATTAAAAACACCGTAGTTATATGTTCTTCGAAAAATTGAATTTAGTTTTTAGATATTCTAATGAGGTAGTGTAATCTGATAGTCATAAAACATTTTTTTTTTGCGAGCTTGACGTGAATTTTATTAAAGAAAGAAATCACTCTTTACTATATTTGCTTGAATTTTAATGAAAATTTTGTTCTTGAGATTTACATTTTTTTTGTATTATGTTTAGAAAAAAACATAAATTGACGGTAAATTAACAATTTTTTTTATTCAAAAGTCATTTCGAATATATATTATTGAATAAATAGTATTTGACTTTCAGCTTTTTTTTTTCTTCTGTTTGATAAGAATAAAATCCGTTATGTTGACATATGGAAAATAATCTATCAGAAATATTCATCAATCTGTTTTGTCAAATAAAATTTAAAATGTTAAATATTGATGAAATTTTCTTATTCTTTAATTAGACTATCATAAAAAATTTATTTGCTTTTAGTTTGAGTACTTTTGTTTTTATTATACGCACTCTATCAAATATTTTATCAATGGCTACACCAACCAATATTCATCGTGATAAATCTCAACAACATAATAGTCTTCGTTCGAGAAGTCAACCGATGTCTGAATACCGTTATAGTGTTCTTTCACCATCAAGTCCAATGGGAGGACATTCAATGAGAAATTATTTCGAAAATCTTCTTTATTTAACACCACATCGTTTTATATCGCAACCAAATACACTTGTAACTCGAACAAAAATATCACCAAGTTCAAGTACAACTGCTCCAAGTGAACGTTCATCACATTGCAAAATAGGATATCCATCAGGCGTTTCAAGTTTGAGTAATCGTTCAACATATACACGTTCACTTTTTGAAAATCGAGTATATTTATTAGTGTGTGTATATTTTTTTTTACTGATTTTTATCTATGTTTTTCTAGCCTTTATTAGGTAAATCACTATTAAAATTTCGTCGAGCGGGCAATTTGGTTTTATTCGCAATTTATTGGTGTAAATTCGCCCGGAAAAAGTATGAATAGAAGCAAGAAAAAAGATCAAATGTTTGCCATTTCCTTTCTTTTATTATAATAGAAATCAGTTACGTTCAATGGTCTATCAATCTTATTTGCAAACAGCTGGTACAACAGAAAAATACATGTTTGACAAATCAAATTTCAAAATTCAATCCGTAAGAAAAATACATATGAAATATTTCTTATTTATGAATTTTCAATTCATAGTATGAAATTTTACCTGCAGTACAAGATTTTTTTAAACAATCAACAGGTGAACGTAATATTGAAAATGCTGATGAGGTAATTATTTTAATAACTATAATCGATATAAATCACGTAGTTTATTTATTTTTTTAATTAGATTAAAGAAACTATTTTCTTTGAATTTTTTTTCAAAATAATTATTTAAAATATCTTTTAATAAGTCTTCATAATTACTTAAAGATGTTATTTCATAATAAAATAATTTAAATTTTTTAACTAATATATCTACTTGAGAATAATGTATTTGTCGAGAATTTTTATGTTTAATTCCAATTAATGAATATGAACAAATATGTTTTAATTCATAGTTTTGAATTAAAGGTAGACAACGATCAATAAGATGATTGAATGATATTTGATTATTAATATCATAGACCAATAGAAGACAATCAGCATAAGAACAAATAGATATTAAATTAGTTTCATTTTGATATGTTAAATTAATATGATGAAATTTTAAATGAAGTTTTTGTTCATTTGTTTGATTATGATGTTTATACATAATATTTAATGAAGTATTTTGTGATTTTTTTCTTTGAAATATATTTTGAGTAAATTGTTTTATTAATTTTGATTTACCAATATTTTTATCACCAATTAAAATTATATTTATAATGCATTGTTTTTGTTTATATTGATGATTATTATTTAAAAATATGTTTTCATTTTTATATGATGTATCATCAATTAATGCATTATTATTTTGATTTTTAACATGAAATGATGCTAATTGAAATTCAGCATTTTCGTAAAACATTTTTTTAATATTTTCAATTGTGTTGTTACCTTGACAATACATAGGTTTCTTTTTTTTGTTAATTTAGATTCGAAGAAGTTTATCTGATATTAAACCATTTTCACGATTACCAAAAGAATTACAAGATCAATTGTTACAGTTAGCATGGTATGAATGGTAAGAGACAGTTTTTTTTTTTTGATAATTCATTTTTACATAAATTGTCTCAAGATAATTAGATGTAGATTTCAGTTGTAACTGATAGAATGTTTTTAAGAGAACAAGGTTTTTTTTTTGTTTTTAAATAGAAAAAGTGTTGCTGAATTATCAGGTCTGATGAGAGAAGATTTGAAATTCTTGTTCTTTGATAAAATGAGAAAAATTCTTTGGAAAAAGTTTGAGTCTTCAAAGAATCATACAATCAAAATTTCAAATCAAAAGTTTCTTATTCAAGTTTCTCAACTAGTGAATAACATAATATAATTGACAAATAATTGTAACCTAAAGGAACTTTCTTTTGTGATTGTAAGTTATAAAAATAAGGAGAAACTAATCACAAAAATAACAGCCCCTAAACACAAAACGTCATACTTCATACACAACGTAATATATCACTAAATTCACCAGAACTAAAGTTGACATACTATCTATTTGATCGATATAATTCTCTTATTATTAGTTATCCTGAACAACGTACAATTGTTCGACAAGGTGAACGACCTGCTTATTTTTATATAATTCTATCTGGTTCAGCTATCCCAACATATAAGAGAGCAACGGATGGTAATGTTGAAACATTGGATGTTTTAAAACGAGGATGCACATTTGGAGTAAGATTTTTCTTTAATATTAATTGACAAATTTTACTTTTATTGTAATCAAAGGAAAAAGGTTTAATGACTGATTCAACACAAAATTTTACTGTTGTATCAAAAACAAATATTGAATTATTAGTTATATGGAAAGATGTAAACAGATATGAATGTAACTGTTTTCAACGACTATCTATTTTTTATATAGGATTTTAAATCAATCTTTATGAGTAAGGATCGACATTGCAGTAAAGATAATCTAGAATTTCTAAAGTAAGATGAATTTTCACAATAATTTTAACAAACAATAATTTCTTTTTTCTTTTAAAAGAAATCATGTACCATTTTTACATGGTTTTCCTATTGAACGTTTAATTGAAATTCCAAATGCAATTCAACATTGTCATTTTAGGTATATTTAGACTTCTTTGTTTCTTGTTTCATTTTAATTTTTAATTATTTATTTACATTAGACAATCAGAAGTAATTGCAAAAGATAGTCGACGTATGAAACATTTATTTATTGTTAAAAAAGGTTCGCTTGATGTATGGAAACGTCTCGATCCAAATGATTATCATCGAAAAGTAACAAACGCCAATTCTGTTCCAACAGACGATGGAAAAAGCTTGTTTCTTTAATTTATATTT